TAGACTGGTGTGAAAGCGGCTAATGGTGCTCTAGGAGGAGATTCAGGTGATAAGGTGGGGGGGGGGTTACCTTAGTTGGTGATTGGCTAATGGTTACACAAGCCAAAACATCGTTATGACATCATAAAGTGGCCAAAATCTGATCAGCTCATTTTCAGACAGGTTTTTATATAAATGGATCAGGACAAAAAGTGAGCGAATATTTTTTTCCTGAAACTTCCCGAATCTCTTTACACAGAGGGGACACATGTTTATGTATAAAATACATGAAAAAGTGGATTTTGCATAATAGATGACCTTTAAGACTGACATTGGAGCATTGAAGTAACAGACACATTCATCTGCAAGGACTTTATACCAATTATACATTTAGTTAAAATATAGGGGTATACAGAATACATTTGTTTGCAGAGCAGCAGATGTGAAGTAAGTTATTTCTCCTAAAATTAATCCATCTGTTAATACTTGACAGCATGACAACTAAAGCTCCTTTTTCAGATTGCCATAAAATGTGTCAACAAGACTTAAAACCTTGTTCTCTGTTGTTGCATCGTCCTACAAGAAACCCACTAACTCCATCCATTCAGTCCGATTGGAATCGAATGGAAAAGATGGTTTTGGAGCAAAAGCTAAAGCGTGGGTTGAAGGAGCGCAGCGCCAAACCTCAGCAGCGGCCGACCAGCACAGCTCAGTCTCAGAGGGGGAAGGAGTGGGAGAGAAAGGGGTGAGGCAGTAAATCAGGCAATGGGGAGTTTAGCCAAATCCAGTTTTGCTCAGAAAATATATTTTAAGTTCGAAGCTCAAAGGAGTTTCTCCTCATTTAATCAGTTCTGAGATAACCCTTTACACACCTTGATGTATAGTGTGTCATTATTGTGACTTTAATTTCCATCCATCTTCCATCTTCTCCCGCTTATCCGTGGTCGGGTCGCGGGGGTAGCAGTTCCAGCAGAGAGCCCCAAACTTTCTTTTCCCTGGCGACATCAACCAGCTCTGACTGGGGGATCCCAAGGCGCTCCCAGGCCAGCGAAGAGATATAATCCCTCCACCTGGTCCTAGGTCTACCCCTTGGTCTCTTCCCAGCTGGACGTGCCTGGAACACCTCCCTAGGGAGGCGCCCAGGTGGCATCCTAACTAGGTGCCCGAACCACCTCAACTGGCTCCTTTCGACGCGAAGGAGGAGCGGTTTCAACTCCGAGTCCCCTCCCGGATGACCGAACTTCTCACCTTATCCCTAAGGGAGACACCAGCCACCCTGCGGAGAAAACCCATCTCGGCCGCTTGTATCCGACTTTAATTTGTTGCACTTTATTTCCTCTAACACACAATATACTATATTCCTGCCCCAAGGGTCTCACAATTCGATCAACACCAATTGACCGAGTTTGGTGGGTTTTTAAAGTAGCAATCTTGTAAGGATTCCTCCATTGTTCTCCATTATTAAGAGGCGCTTTCACACTGCGGTACTTTTCCCACAAAGGTTCATGTGAACTTAGTTCATGTGAACTCTTTAGTTCGCATGTACAGATCGCGTTCACACTGGAAAAAGTCCCTGTGGGAGGATTAGGCAAATGAGCCGCTGACGTCACTTGTTCTTCTTCTGCTTTGGGTTTACTGGCAGGCCGCAAACCACTTCACAGTGTATACTGCCACCCGGAGTCCCCGGAGTTAGGGACTGGCTTCAGTAGAAACTGCTGGGACTCCCAGCAGCTTTTACTGAAGCCTTCCGAGTAAATCGCCAGAACGCCGACACCTCCTCATCTCCACCGCTCCCATGTTTTATTTTGTGTTGCCATAAGTTAGTCTCTCTGCGTTTCTGCGCTGGGCTAATGCTAATAATGCTAATGCGAGGATAATAAAATGGCGGCTTCACAACACTTTTTGGGAGTTTTGCGGGGCGTGGTTTGCAATCCTTCCAGCCAATCAGAAATATAGCTCTTTTCTCACAAAAGAGGCGCTCGAAAGTCCCTGCTCTCTAGCAGGGACTTTCGAGGGGGGAAAAAGGTTCACATGAACTAATTTTAGTACCGGCTCTTTTTGGTGTGAACGCGATAAAAGAGTTCACATGAACTAAGTTCACATGAACCTTTGTGGGAAAAGTACCGCAGTGTGAAAGCGACTAAGGTTTCACAGAGAGACAAATTATTCACAGGTCTTCTAGTCACGAAAACAAACAGACCCGGTAATTAAAAATGCGTAAAAACACTGATTAAAGCTTTTTCGCATTCAAATTCAAATTGGCTGTAAGCTAACATTGGTTCAGCTTAATTCTCTGATTACTTAGGATCCAAATGAACAATGACTAAAATACTTTCTTTGGTTCAAAAGTACGCTTCAAACATATAATATATTTACTGTTTGGACCCATGTGGCTTCATTTAAGCTCTATTTTTTACAGACTAATGCAGGTCACTTTTGTAGCTCTTGGATGTTTTAATAATTGTGTCTACTCTGTGCATATGGCTCTGTCTGTATTTATGAATCTCTTTGGGCCTGTAAAAACGTATAGTGCACCTGCTTTTACTGTGACTCACTGGAAACTCTTGTACATCATAAGCAGAACGCAGACTTATTCTATGTTTTTCTACTGTGGTTCCTCAAAACTGTGTCCCTGCAGACCGCCTCTCATGTATTTCCTAGAACTACGTCCAGTTCCCGCTGAGCTCATTGAGCGCTGACCACTATACAGTTACATGGACCATTTCAGTGATAGACACCAACATCTGATTATAACACAAGTTCTAATAACAAGCTCTGGCAATAGATGTTTAGGGATTTGTTTGACCCTGCAGTGATAGAGACAGTATGGCAGCGCAGCCTCCACCTGCAGCAACAGGGCAGAGCAGCATCCAGTTGTGAGAGCATTCTCAAGCTCATAAATCTCATAAAGTTGGAATATGACACAATGGTTGAGGACAGAAAGTGCCAAGAGGAGCAGGAGAGCACAAAAACCTGCCACACTGAACTAGTAAAACTCTAAAACACACTCTCAGGCAAGCAGTGGCAGCAACCACAGCGCACCAGGAAAAACATATCCAGATGTTCTCCTCATAGAATCACCAACCCCCTCCTACACACACGGGCCACACATGGGCTACATATTACAGAGGCTTGAGCTCCAACTTCTTTTTTCTCCTCTTTCTTTTTCATGTACGCACACACACATCTGTACCGCTATACTTGTGAGGACATTAGGCCGTAACATTAACCATCAGAACTAAATTCATAACGCAAACCTTAAGTAGGTTGCTTTGATGGAGAAGGGGCGTTGCTTTAGTTACCGGGTGAGAGATGAAATACGATCCAGGAATTCCCACTTCTAGTAACAGATCCATTAGTTTGAATGCTTATCAGATGTTTAAACAGTGTAGAGATTTAGATTTAGTCTCACCCCTATGGTCTCACCCTTAGATGGGACTTTGAATAGTTGTAGTCACATTTTTAGATATTTGTATTGTTTAAACTTTGAGTGCAGTTTAAATAGACAAAAAGGCATCACATTTGAGTCATTACTCAATGTTTTCTCTTCTGATATTTTTATTTAGTCATGGTCCTTTGCAGGTTTCCATGTAAACTGAACAAAAACTTAAAATTATTACGATTCATTGTCCAGTTATTTCCTCAATAAAGTTAATATATATAAATAAATACATTATCATTAAAGAATATCACTACCCAATTATATAAAACAGAGATACGTAATACAATCTTACAGTATCGGTAAGAAGAGTTTAGTGTTTTAAAATGAAAAATTACTTTTAAATATAGTTTGGGATTCACTTCTTGTGGATTGACTCATTCATTCATGGTTACAGCTATAACCCTAAACATGAAAAAACTCCCAAAATGTCCTCACTACCAAGATTTAAAACTGAACATGGTCCCCACAAAGACACACACACACACACACACACACACACACACACACACACACACACACACACACACACACACACACACACACACACACACACACACACACACACACACACACACACACACACAACACACACACACACACACACACACACACACACACACACACACACACACACACACACACACACACACACACACACACACACACACACACACACACACACTTTCAGCCCCTCCTCTCTTCCACTAGAGCTCCTGGCAGGCCGTCTGGTTGAGGCCCATAGTAAAGGGAGCCGTTTTCTCTGGCTTGAGAGTGTGTGTGTGAGTGCGTGTGTATGTGCGCGCGTGTGTGTCCCCGGGCCCCAGACAGGAAGGAAGAGAGTGGGCCCGGCAGCACAGCTCCAGAATTCCGGTTTTGTTTTTCTTCTTTTTCCATCAGTGCGGAGCCTGAGTCGGGTCTTAAAGAAACAGTCATTAATATTTTCCTCTTAAAGACGCCACACTGTTCTCTGAGAACTCCACAATAGGACTCTGAAAGAATCATTGCAATACTATGTAAACATATTACCAGTATGTAAAATAAAAATCTCAAATGAATGAAGAGGTCTTTTTTTGGCTCAGATGAATCTGTATTTTGAGAAAACACAGTGTGCGTCCGAGCATGGGGTCAGGCTCATTTTCATTGAAGCGTCTAAAAATAAAAGTAGTGATCTAGCATCAGCGGTCAGGTTACCTAAATTACTCGGGGGGGTGAAACATAAGGATTTTGGACTCAAGTAGGGCAGTCGTATTTAGCCGCTTCCCCCATGTTTTTGTAATAAATCATCGCTCAGAATCTGGCATAGAAAGGGTTGGGAAAAGGAGCGATGGATGACACAGTTCACGGCTCATGATCTTAACATCTCTGCTGAGGACAATAAAGACTGAGAAGTCATGATTCATCGGGTAACAGCTCGGGCTCTGTGGGCCAATCAGAGCAGGAAACGGTCTCTTAAAAGTAACCGGGTGACATCATCGATTTGGCAACGATTATGAAAACAAACTCTCATTCAGTCGTTACACAAACAGAGCTCAGGGTTGTGAAAGAGCAATCCTCTCATCAGCTAATTTCAAGTCAGAGGTACGGGTGAAAAGATATTTATTAAGAAAGTAAACAATCAGTTACTCTCAGAGTATAAAAGTTTAAGACACAGTGTATGTGGATGGAACAAGATGCTTATCTTTCACACTGAAGTGATAACAATTGGTTGCTATAAACTCTGAAATCTTTTAAACTACTGAAGTTATTTTATATTTAGTTTTATGATCAACAAATCAGAAAACCAAAGCCAACAATGTGTTAGTACATCTCTCAATACTTTGCCACCCTCCTACCCTGTCTGAATCAATTCCTTGTTGCTTTTTAGTATTTTAACAGGACTTGTTGAAAATAAAATATAACATAAGAGATCATCTTTAATAACTGTACCAAACTTACCAATTTGGTAAGGTACTTTGTTGGCTGCACGGTAAAGGTTAAGTTAGTTAATTTAAACCAGTGCTTCTACTAATGTCCAACAAACAGGTGAACAAACATGAAGCATCCACAGCACACTTTATATAACTTTCAATTACTCTTTGTTCAATTTAAAAATGATTGTGCTGGTCTCAATACAACTCAAATAAATATCATGCATTTTAGAGATGTTGGTTGAGGGAACTGAAGTATTTGTGTTTTCTACTGATGCCATTCTACATGAACTGCACGCCACATACACAAATAGAGTTCAAGATGTCCACATGTGTAGTGAAAAGGCAAGTATGAAAGTCTCTTGCATGCGTCTACACAGGACACAATTTTGTGCACACACATTGAAACACGCACACACACAGACGCTTGAACACTCACAAAGTGACTCGCAGCAGATCCTTTGTCAGCAGAAAGCGGACTGCTCTCTCAGCACTCTTGTAAAGAACAACTTCTCTAATATTCAACTCCTTCACTTCAGATATCTCTTTGTAATATAACCAGGCGCAGTACATCAGCAGAGAGGCTCAGTGTGCATTGTTCAAGTGTACAAGATCGCACATTTTCAGTGAGATGTAACAACTGGAGTGTTCGCTAGATGTCTTTCTGTGAGTAGTGTTGGTGTGACCCCATTTCCCTCACACCACACTTCAACCTCTCTCTGGTGCCGCCATCTTTAGGCCTCCTCACGTCTCTGGAGATGTAGACCGATCTCCATCTGGTTCTCCAAACACTCCTTGAGCTTGTCCTCTGTCAGCGTCAGCCGCTGCTCCAAGATGGAAACCGTCTGGATGGAGTTACAAGACAAAGAAAGAAAAAAAAGGGGGGAAGGAAGGAGACGGATGAGAGGGAAAGAGCATGTTAGAGAGGGCTGTATAGCATCAGCCTGAAAGTAATAACTATATAATGGCGGTGTTTGTATGTGTGTGAAAGGCAGTTCTGTGTGTTTCTGAGACAGATGTTGTGCGTGCAAGACAATCCAGCTGATTATCAGAGAGAGATCTGCTGCTTGAGCTGAAAACACCAGAGTTTCTGTGTCTGGCACGCACCCTCTCTTGTTCTAAGTCTCACACAGTTGCATAAACACACTTACGCACACAGAGAATACAAGAAGGTCGCTATCCGAATCAGGACGGGCATGTGTGGGTAGTGAGATCACAGTGCGACATACTTTTCCTCTCAGCATCCTCCAACAGTCACAGTGTTTGTTGTGTGTTTGTGTCGCCTGAGCCTGTTCATCAGACGAGCCTCCAGGTTTGATTTCATCATCTGAATGAACCGATTACTGAGGACACAGCTGGCTTTTCTATCCTTTATTGTATCTGAGATCCAGTAGCCACATTAAAGAAATAATGTAATCAGTCTTTCATTATCTAAAACAAATAGAAGATATTACAGGATTCCTGTCTGGACCCTGAGAGTATTCCTTAAAAGACAAGACCAGGACAACTGAGAATATACTACTATCTTATATATGTGTTGGTCCCTTCAGATAGTTAACCTAATTGCTTTAAAGCACAATATGTCATTTATTGCAAGCAGTGATTGGATTTTGGGAGTGTTTCAGATCATGGGAGGGTGTCACCGCAGTCAGCTTCTCCCGGTTAAGATTCCTCTATTGTTCATCTCTCAAGAGGTTTAACCGGGGTTTTCCACAGAGGTTCCCCCTCCTCTCCAAAACATACAGACCGGGTGATTTAAACCAGTAAGCGTTAGAAATCACTCATGGTCTTCTCAGCTGGTTCCTCTCATCAATTGAGATCCTGATGTAAAACAAATTAAAATCCATTTCTCTAGGTTTGAAAAGGGTTAATATTTTGAATATTGTAAGTAATACAACCTCAATAATATAAGTCTAGCTGTTGTTTGACTTTTGAAATGTAACATATTACATCTTTAACAGGCTTGACTGTTGATAAGTAATGCGGGAATTAGATTTATGCAAATTCAAACACAAAAAGTGAAACAGATACAAAAGGGTGACAGTCATTTGAGTGAATCTTGTGGTCATAGTGGCCTCATTTTATCTGAATCTCTGACATATTGTTGCCTGGTGACAAACACAATACCAGCTAGTTAGCAGTTTTGGAAAGTAACGCTTGGCAACATAAATGTGGTTGTGGGGAGGAACAAAAATAAACCAGTCAACATGTTCACATGGACAGACTCTCTACATTTGGGCCAGCAAGTAAAATATATGTCAACATGTCTCAACCTGTCATTTAATGTCTCTTTGTGCCAGCGAGAGCAGTTTTTAAAATTGCTAGAAAGCAGCAACGAGATGAGTCATTTAATGAAAATATAACCAGCTGCAGGTTAGACATTGGAAAAAAAGATTTGGGTGACCTCAAAAGTGGTTTGCTTCCCGGTTTGTTTTATTGAGAAATAACCTGTTGCTGGGTTGATTCATCAGCAACTATACAGCGGTTACTCAAAGCTATAACTATATGAAACGCACCTTAAACTCAGGGCCAACATAACAGGTAGGATCTATCTTTCGCTCACTTTATACAATCAGGGTCATTCTCAATGACAGACAACATAGATGGTTGAAAAATAGTCGCTGGATGTCTTAAAACTTGTTGATAATTTCTCGTTTTGTAATTTGATAGGTGAACCGAAGTCATTAATACCAAGAACAACTAAACACAGTCCAATCATTTTAGTTTTATCTTATTGTGTGATGAAACTAAAAGAGTACATTAAAAACTGGTCTAGCATCGCCTCGGTTTGTCGAGCAGTTGTGTTTAACTCGCAAAGGTTTATGGTGTTTGTTAAAGACTGCTAAAACACAGAAATATAAAATACACAGCAACAGTGCAATGGTAGCTGGAGCCACACATACTGTTGAGAAAATATATTTCTGAATTATTGGCATTATTACAAAAATCATCGGGGGTGGTAATAATTTGAATAAGACTTCATATTTATGTAAGGGACACAGAAGTTCTTACCATATAAAAACGAATAACTTGTATTTTCATCTCAATATTGACCCTCCATTGTAAGTGTACTACATGTTGTTTTAGTAATCTTCCAAGCCAAGACATAGTGCCTGACACACACACACACACACACACACACACACACACACACACACACACACCACACACACACACACACACACACACACACACACACACACACACACACACACACACACACACACACACACACACACACACCACACACACACACACCCACACACACACACACACACACACACACACACACACACACACACACACACACACACACACACACACACACACACACACACACACACACACACACACATGCACATCCTGGAGACTTATCCTAACCTTAACCATAACCAACACATGCCTAACCCTTAACCTTACCCTTACCCTAATCCTAACCAAGTCTTCACCCCTAAAATTAATGATTCCCCTCATGGGGACCTCGAATTTGTCCCCATAAGGGAGGCGAGTCCCCACACGTGACTGTGTAAACAGATGTAGGTCCCCACAAGTATAGTAATGCTAGGCCACACACACACACACACACACACACACACACACACACACACACACACACACACACACACACACACACACACACACACACACACACACACACACACACACACACACACACACACACACACACACACACACACACACACACACACACACACACACACACACACACACACACACACACACACACACACACACACACACACACACACACACACACACACACACACACACAACTAAAGGCGTACTGATGAAGTAATTTACATTGTTGAATCCCTCAGATAATCTCATACTCTGCACCCACCGATGGAAATAAATTCATCAATGTGTGGGTGCGTGGAGTTTCTTTTTGGTCATCAAAATAGATAACATCTTCTGCTATTTCATGCATCATGGGAGAGAGAAGGCTTGTATTTCCCCTTTCTCTCCCCCTCTCTGCCTGTCTCCGTTTTCTAGATCAATACCACCCTGTTTATCTTACCAACCTGATATGGCTACCCAGTCTCAGCCCAACCAGCTATGGGTGTGTGTGTGTGTGTGTGTGTGTGTGTGTGTGTGTGTGTGTGTGTGTGTGTGTGTGTGTGTGTGTGTGTGTGTGTGTGTGTGTGTGTGATTCCGCATCGTGTCCCCAGGCAGCTGCAACATTATACGGGCATATAGTTTTCATCTGGAGTAGAAACCAAATCTTTATGCTCCTAAAAATAGAGCAAGCTGTTTTCTTTTCTCTCCAGAACACATTATACTCCCCATCGCCCTGAGCATTGCTGGCCTCTGTTACAAAGTCTCATAGCTTTGGTATGACCCACGCTGAAGTCTGATAGTCTGAAAGGCAAAGAAAGGCAAACTGCTGCTGGTGAAAGGTGGCAAAGTCAGGTATTTTCTCTATATGTAGCTCACTGACGTGCTTAACATAATATGCTACCACTAAAGTGAGTTATAGTCATAAAACAAGGAATTAAAAAGAATGGTTTAAGTGATATCATAAAAACACCATAACAAAACCTGGTAGCCAGAATTCGTCCACTGACCAACACTAATGATCTGAAGGTGTGTAGCACAAGCACTGCTGCGGTGAATCAATAACCATATTTAAACACATTGTATTAGCAGAAAGCCAATAAAAATCCATACAGTCATTAGTTAATAGCCTCGGCCTCTTGTTAACGACGGCTCTTTATCTTAATGCTGCCATAGTATGCTAACATTGAATTATTGGAAAATGTATACTTAACCTCTCCTGAAAATGACCACTTGAAAGTGTAGTGCAGGCTTTTATGTTTTACAAGACATAAGAGCAGATTTTTTCTTCCTTTCATCATCGCACCACATTTCATAACATATGCGTTGTTGTCCCTGACTCTGGCTCAGCATGATGTGATGGAGTAGGAGGAAGTGAGTCTGAGCGGCTTTACTTTAGTGTTTTTGTTACCAAATAAGGATAGAAAATGAGCTTTTTCAACTACTGATTTTTAGACTTTAAGATGTAATAATGATTTATAAATAGTATCTATGATCAGAGTTCCTTGTTGGAATATTAAGTCACCATATTTCTCAGAATGATGGTGGCCTATCTTGGGAATTCTTTCTTTCTTACTTCTTAGTTCTCGTAAAACAGAACTATAACATACAAATCAGAGACCGCCTCCAATCCTTAGTATTTCAAACACTGTGGTAAAAACGTTGTGGTTTCTAAAAGTCCACAAGCTATAGTTAAACGGTTTTAATCTTTTCTGAGGAACAGGAACAAGTTGCTTTCACTTTATTCAAATTATTCATGCAGCTCCATTTATAGCTGATGATACAGAAACACAGTCAATGGAGTGGTCCACATCTGTGTACATCTATTCTGACTCACACATAAGGTTAAGGTTGAGCAGAAACATGCAGAATGATGGAGAGCAGAGAGAAAGTACTGGACGTTTTAAAAGAGCAAGTGTTAATGAAAGCAAATATTGATTAAATATTCTTCATAATTAAGAGGGAGAGTGTGGAAGAAGTGAATAGGTGTGGGTTATGCAGGATTAGTGAGGGAGGACATGTAAGAGGAATGAATTATTATATACGGAGTGTGGACTGGTACTGGAGAGGGGCCAGTTCACCTCCTGGGCCGAAGTGCCCTTGAGCAAGGCACCTAACCCCCAACTGCTCACTGGCGCCGGCTAGACTGGCTGCCTCCGCTCTGACCTCTCAACTGCATGTGCATGTGTGCATACAACTGTGTGTGTATTTGTATATGTATGTACATGTTCTAAAAAGTGTGTACTGTGTGTACTGTATGACCTGTATAAAAGCGCATGTGTGTGTACGACAGAGTGGAAACTGAATTTCCCCCACGGAGGATTAATAAAGGTCCATCTTCTCTTCTCTTATCAAACAGAGGAAGAAGAATAAAGAGAGGGGTATTGGTGAGGGGGGGGGGGGGCAGATAAGTGAAAAAACAGCTAACACAGCAAACTGTGGCTTTAGAAGCTTCAGCCTAACGTTGAATAATTCAACATGTTCCTTCTCAGTCTCCTCCGTTATTAGTTACAAAGAGCCGTAAAAGTGAAAAATAATGCTGGAGAAAATACTTAAAGAGGAACTGGAATATAACACACAAATAAATGATGTCCCTTTGTCAGCCTAATCTTCAGAGGAAGGCGGGGCAGTCATTTAAATCTCCATGTTGTCAAAGTTGAACAGATGATGTTGGACAAATATCTCTACTTTCTTATTTCTACTCACGTGTGAGGGCATTTTGGAGGTCAGCTGAAAGAAAGCTGGGTTGAGCTCGTGTGCATACTTTACATGACCTAATTATACATTACCTTACGATTCTAGTGGTCTGTTTTTTTTTAACAACACGAAGTTAACATTACTGTGCTGTGTTTTGTAGAACTCCCTTTTTAAAAATCTCTTAACAAGCTGTGTATACAACAGCAGGTGAGGTGAAAGTCAGTGATCTGCCAATGTTACCATCTGTACGGTTAAAAAAGCGTGTCTGAACCTGCACCAGCTGTGATTTCTGCTGCATTTTAACCCAATTTTATGCAGGTTTTGATGTGATTCAGTTGAACATCCAATTCAGCTCCCAGGTAGAAAATTACATTTGCAAAATCTACCTTTTGATTAAATCTGACTCACCAAAACTGTATTTCAGTTCTGTTGAAACATTTGCAAAGACAATTGTTAAACATTTGAACCCATGTTTCAGCATCACAATTGTGCAACTCAGGAAAACTCTACGGTTAACTAGTTGAGTTTAAAATGAAGGCTGAGTTTGAAAGTAGGTATGGTCTGAGTAAGGGCACCGGAAGTCTTTGCAGCCCCACAACTTTACTCTCCTGGCCTGATTTATTGCAGCTGTATTGTTATGTTTCTTCCTGATTTTAGATTTTTCTTCCATATTTTTTTTGCCTCAATAGTTAAATTAGATTCAGTTCAACAGTACAATTAAAGGAAAACCATTAAAACACTAGTTAAAAACTGTATAAGGTCTGACAACAATGTCACGTTCAGGATTGACAAAAGCAAAGCCACAGCGGACGAGAAAAGCTTTTCAATAACAACCATAAGATCGTCAGATATGAGCATTTATATAATCTATTAAGAGATCTTAATGATTGCCTACCATGTCCTAATGTAACAAATAAGAATGCACCCAAACAATCAAAGAGCAGAAGGACAAAACCAGACACAGACGATCCATCTGGCATCTGGGTTTGGGTGAATAGGTCTTGAAAGGGAGAGGCTGCTGCCCACCCCCCCTGGGAGGGGTTAGCTAGCTGCTGGCTGCCCTGAGCCAAATCTAAATGCTCCAACATTCTGCAGATTGAAAGAAAGAAGAAAGAAAGACACACACAAGAAGCGTTTCTGCTTCTAAGCGTGGCCATTAACAATTTACACTCAGTCACTATCACTATCAGTGATAGTGCTCCCAGCACTCGTATGAATGATGCATTTTCACACACACACACACACACACACACACACACACACACACACACACACAACACACACACACACACACACACACACACACACACACACACACACACACACACACACACACACACACACACACACACACACACACACACACACACACACACACACACACACACACACACACACACACACACACACACACACACCAAAGTATATGCAAAGTTAAATGAGTGAGGTGTTAAGCCCACCTTGCAGTGAGGTGGGTTTGGTGCAGAGCAACCTCTGGCTGCAGCTTTAGGCTTAGCCAGGGAGCATAGTTGGTTAAATAGAAATCCAATAAAGGATGTGTCCATTGCACTTAATGTTTTCAACACTGATTAATATAAGTTGCAAATTCAAAAGCTGCAGTCATTTCATTTCATATTCGACAGGTCAGCTAAAAGGAATGGGTTACAACAGGAGAGCCTACAACATGTTGCTGTACTGTTATTCTGCTTTCTCTGATATCCATATCTGATCTTTGGAGCTAAACAAATGCACAAAGCATAAACATAAATAAATTGACACGAAGCAGACCTTCAGATCTTAACTGGTTGCTGTTCTTTTCGTTTTTTGTTCAAGGATCTATTTTTTTGTTTTGCATGTTCTGTATTTTTCAGAATTTTTTTAGGATTAGTTATCTGGTTGACTAAAAATGGAACTTCACTTGATGTGCATACAGTTCAAATGAGATTATAAAAACAACAGTAATGTCGCTGCTGTCACAGGTAGATTTGTGTAATCAGTATTTATGTTTTTCCACATTCTGTGGAGGACAGCTGCCAATGAAAAACTATAATGTGACAGTAAATACATTCTGCCACAGACATACAGCAGTGTAGAGATAAAGTGCCAGTCTTACGCAGTAACAGCATGATAGATGGTGTTCTGTGTTTGTGTTCTGTAATCATATCTGGCCTGCAGGTTGATCAGGAGGAAGCTTTTGTTCTGAACAGAGTGAGGGGGCGGCACAGCCTCAGCACAGTGCTTGCTGTTTTTCATGAGAGATTAACAACTCTTCTGCTTACCTGAGTGAGAATATCTAGTTGACCGATGATGTGTTCCAGGGTGTTGGCCAGACCAGGAGGGACACCCCCATCCGAGGCCTGGGACTGTGCTTGAACCTGGGGTGAATGCGGCGGTAAACCCGGGGTCTGTGTCTGGTGTGTGGAGGAAGAGCTGGAGCTGAGGGGTCCGAAGGTCTGTGAGCGAGTCGCTCTGCTCTGGCTGCGACTGCCGCTCTTTGTGTGGGAGTCCTGACCGTTTGCGTGTTCTGAGGGGTCGCAGGCCTGAAAAATAAGAAGGGTAAAGGATTGTTGGAAACTCATAAGGTTTCTAATGTGCTTCACATAACATAGTTAGGGGTGTCTCACTATATATAGGAATTTAAAGGTCACCTATTATGCAAAATCCACTTTTCATGTATTTTATACATAAACATGTGTCCCCTCTGTGTAAAGAGATTCTGAAAGTTTCAGGAAAAAAGATTTGCTCACTTTTTGTCCTGATCCATTTATATAAAAACCTGTCTGAAAATGAGCTGATAAGATTTTGGCCACTTCATGATGTCATAACGATTTTTTGGCTTGGGTAACCATTAGCCAATCACCAACCACCAACCCAAAGAGACGCACAATCAACAAAAAAATGAATGAACCATTTTACTTCCTCATCTCTTTTGAGAATTGCACATGAGCAATACTCACAAGAGAATGGCTCCTGAAAACAGGAGATGGGTGGCAAAAAGATCTTTGCAATTGTATACTGTATATGAAATACACATATGAACTTGATAAAGATGCCATTTTCATCAAGTTTCAAAACCATTATATTTCACACTGAATGTAAAAGCAAAGTAAGAAATTAAAATGCATCCTTAAATTGGAAAACAATCACGACTGACTTTGCTTGAAGAATTATTTTCTGTAAATGAGCCTTTTACACAGACTCCAGAAGGTGTATGGAGTCAACAGAGGAAAACTGTCGACTCTCTCTCACACACAGACGCACACTGCCAGTCTGTCTGTGTGTGTTGTGATTAATTCAATGAGACATAAACACATGAAGGTCAGTGACCACATCTCTCCATCACAATGTCTATGTTACTGCACACATCTATAAGATAATTCATATTTTGGTCTGTCTCCGCAGTCCTCTGTCTGGTGGTGTGTGTGTGTGTGTGTTTCTGTTTGAAAGAACGTCTCATCTCCATGCAAATGTTTTACTCATCATCCCCATGCAACATCGAGTCTATCCACGCTCAGTTAAGCATGTTCAAAGCCGCAGAATCAAACTGTGCTGTTTCCTGAATGAAGCCATACATACTATGAGCGGAGATGTCATTTGTCACCTGGATCTACACTTGTGTTACAGCCAGACTACGACCACGGATACATTAAAACGGACAGGGATTCTGTACAGTAATATTTATGGCCTGCCAGATATCACTTGATGGGATCTTTTATTTTTTGTATTTAAATGTGACTGCTTCAGCTCTAAAAACCAACACATTTCAATTATATATTTTAATAAATGTGATTTTCCTCGACGATTACTAATTCAATCCCCTACATATCGCATAAAGATGACAAAGAACAAAACTAGAGGGTAGTATGGGAAAGACAGCTCTGCAAGAAATGTGAAAAGAGATCACATGGCCAGAATCAATAATAACTGCTGAGGGAGAAAATATCAGGAGAGGAACTCAATGACCTTCAGCATTTTGTTGGTTCAGTACCCAAAGTGATCTCAATACTTCACACTGTGAAGGCTACAGACGGGACTTTTATTGTGGCCAGCCTAAGGCACACCTGTGCAATAATCATGCTGTCTAATCAGCATCTTGATATGCCACACCTGTGAGGTGGGATGGATTATCTCGGCAAAGGAGAAGTGCTCACTATCACAGATTTCTTCAGATTTGTGAACAATATTTGAGAGAAATGGTTATTTTGTGTATATAGAAAATGTTTTAGATCTTTGAGTTCATCTCATGAAAAATGGGAGCAAAAACAAAAGTGTTGCATTTATATTTTTGTTCAGTGTACTTCTCTTGTCTTTCAGTATGGTGGTGCTTTATTTCTCTGCTCTGATGTACTGTTGGTTGATGTATAGAGAGGGGGCCTTTCTCATTTCACTAATTTCCCCTCCTCGACTCCTATCCTCGTGTCTTAGTCCCGCCCACAGGAGATGCGAGCGGAGGAGCATATATATATATATACAGTATATATACATACATACATACATACATACATAGGTATATATATACATTTATATAAATATATACAATTTCAGAATCAAACAAGTATGAGAGCACTCACAGCATAATAACCTAACACTATCAGAGACTGGATATGGAGGACTGTGGAGGACCCATCAGTGTATCCTCGATTATAGCTCCTCCAGAGAGCCTCCTCGACGCTCGATCCTCGATGTGCATTTAGAGAAATAAGATGTCCTTCAACATGGCGCGCCGAAAACCATTTCCGGGTCACTACCGGAGGACCGAGGATTCGAGGAGTCGAGGAGGGGAAATTAGTGAAATGATAAAGGCCCAGGGTGAGAGAGAGAGAGAGAAAGAGGCAGAGAAAGAGAGGGACAGGCAGACAATGGAGAAGTTCTGCTGAGCCTACAAGCTCCACCAAGACTGGATTAACTCTTGTTGAGAGTACGATTTATAGCTTTGTATTAAATCAGCTGCTTAAACACACACCAAGCGCTGGTCCCCAAATAAACACACACATGCTAGTACAGAAAATCAGAGGCAAAAATTGGTGAAGACCTGTATACCATACAGATATAAACCTTTGGCCTCACACACGAACACAAACGCACAGGATTTTTGTGAAAAAACCCACATTGGGTAAAAACATTGTTGGAAAATGGTGTTGATGAAAAAAGGTAAACATTTAATCCAAAAAAAATTCAAAAAACTAATCTAGCACAACCCCACAACTATTACTGGTTTTTACTATTTATTTCTGCATTCATACAAAGTGAATCACACAAATAACTTGTTAGCGAGTTATTTTCATTGCAAACTAAAAGGTCAGGATGATTATGCTTTTAGAATTAAATGTAAACTTGTCTATAAAGTCAACCCTTAATTAATCTTTGTACACACTGTCTACTGCGGTGTGACATGTGTACATAGTGAAGTTGATGCTTAAATAATATATTGTTCTGCGAACTCAACACGTCCTGTAGTGCCGTAGCCTTACGGGGGAAAACCCCGATACGCACAAGTGTACACACGTGTGCTTGCATCGACAGCACACAGTAACACCCTCCTAATGAATCACCTGGAGTGGAAAAACCAACAGTGGAACATTTCCTGAGGCCCAAATTAAATTGGAAGACTGACACAGCAAGCCATCAATACACCCTGCAAGCGTTCTACTAAACCATTCATCACTCTACACGCTTGCATACACACATAAAATGTTACACGCCTTACATTTTTATGAGGATAGATCAGAACATTAAAGAGAGGTAATTAAATAAGGGATGGATTTATATAACTGAATAATTGCACGTCAACAAATGAGTTCTTCAATATCTGGGCCGTGGCCACATAGGCTATCTGAGTTTAGTCATGTTAGCTTATAATAAAAGGCAACCCTTGCAATTAAATGGGCTGTGTTGGTGCAAAGCATTTCTCAAACAATTAGTCAACAAATCGATTATTGGATCAAAAGAAAAACAATCGCCAAATATTTTCTTAATCGCTTCATTGTCCTTTTCATTCAAGAATGGTACAACAAGCTGTTTTCTAGCTCTTAACTAAATAACGTTGAGTTTTGGACCGGCAACACCTTGGACTTTGACGAATTGAGATTGACCATTTTTTAATTATTTTTGCATTTTTCTAACGATTTATATAGAAAATTATAAATTGTAAAAAGGTAGTTATTTACGGTCCAAATAGACCTTAATATATTGTTGTAGTTGGTTTGATATCCCAATTTCAAACCCAGGTGGTGAAAGGTAATAACAACAACAGATGGGTGTTATTGGTTTCCTTCCCACACCACAAGATGTACAAATTGTGTTTTTTGTAAATATGCTTTGAAATGGCTATTTCTGTTGGTAGATATTCTGCTCACTAGCCCGAGCTTTGTTTTGATTGAATGACTGGTCATGTACAAACTGCCTGCCTCACAGTCCATTACCATTGTTTGTTTGGTAATTATCTTGGTGTGTATGCGAGTGAGTTATATCATGCCATGTCAGTTTTTCTGTGTATTTGTATTTTGGAAAAACTATTTTGGAAAAATGAAGTAGGACTTTTAGGTCCAAACAGAGTCAACACTTAATGCTGATGCGTCAAAATGTGTCAAAAACGGGCAGGGATTAAAAAATGGCATTTCAACTCTATAATGGCATCATTGGAGACATTTTAACGTGAGTAGCAGCAGAAAATACTGCAAGTAACAACAATTTGGACCCAGCAGTACAATGTGTGTTATCACCAGCTGTCCCCTTTGAACATGCATAGGAGTTTAAATTGACTGTTTAAGGATAATGTCTGTGTCTACCTTAAATGTATGCCAATCATCCTTTCCTTTTAATTAATTCAAGCACAGTTGGCCATGATAGACCTTGTTGTTCCACTATGTGAGAAGCTGATTTATTATACACCTATACTAATATATTAGTGCACCAACAGTGCATGCAGCCTGTTGCAGTTTCTCCTGCTAGATTATTGTTTTCAACTTTTACTTTTCTTATTTGATCTTACTTGTTATGTTTCCATTAGAAACTCGTGTTAACTTAATCAGCTGTGCCCTCTCTGATTTTTCTTGTAGAGAGAGATTTTGTTTGTTTTTCACAGTTGAGTTGCTGCTGGTGTGCATCCCTTGTTTACACCAGGGAGAGCTGATGTGGTCGGAAACAATGGCACCTCCACAACATACAGCCAAATACAATTCATCATGCTAGCCTCCCTAAGGCTTAATCACAAGTATACATTACAATTAAATATGTCCCACTCTTTAAGACGTTACATTGAAGTGTACCATAATATAACCATAGGATGTAAACAATACAAGACGTTTCTCTCACTACTGAAATGTAGATTCATTACAGTGGAACAAACATTTAATTTTAAACTGTTAGGGACAGTTTTGATGAATGATGCCTGTGATGTGACTAGGGTTGCAAAATTCCAGGAATTTTCAAAGATGGAAACTTTCCACGGGAATTTATGGGAATAAATTGGGAATTTTCAAAATTGAAGGTTGGCTCTTCATAGGGAACTTAAATATATTTGGGGAAAGTATATTTTAGC